GTCGGGGGCAACGGCAGCGGCGCGGGAGCAACGGCGGCGGCACGGGCACGGACCCGGGCGGCGGCGGCGGATCCGGGCCCGGGCAAGCCCGCGATGGGCTTCCCCGGGCCGCGCGATGGAGACGGCGGCGGGGGCGAATCGGAAGGCAACACGTGGCGGCGGCGAGGGGGCTGGACATGTCCGGCGGCGGAGCGTACATGTTCGGCGCGGTGAGGGAGGAGAGTGTTAGGGTTTTGGGGAAATCATCCGCGAATTTCGGGGGAGGGCACCTATTTATAGATTCTGGGAGCTAGGAGAGTCCAAATGAGGAGCGGTTTTCGCCCATACGATCGTGATCGAACGACCGAGAGGATGGAGGGGGTTAGGATGGGTTTTGGGCCACTTTGGAAGGGTGTTGGGCTCCAACTCAAAGTGGGCTTTTACGGTTACCCGGTTAACCGTAGGAGTACCAAACGACCTCCAAATGGCACGAAACTTGACAGGCGGTCTACCGGTGCTATACCAAGGTCGCTTGGCAAACCTCGGGCCATTCCGAGAAAGTTTAACATCCGCACATAAAAACAAGGTCTGAGAGGGGCGACGGGCGCGCGCGAGAGGTCCGGACTCCGAACGGACAACGGAGAGAACCGGAAGAACCCGAACGGATGCAAGTTTTGAAAAACATGCAGATGAAATGCAGATGATGATATGATAAAATGCAACACCCAAGCAAACGACATGGCAACTACGGCGAATAACTGGCAGACACCTGGCGCAACGAATCCAGGGCGTTACACTATGTCTTCGTCTTCGGCAGGGTCTCCTCCGGTTGCATGTGTCGTTTGGCGGGTGGGAAGAAGAGAGTGGGCGAAAAGGGCGGAAATTTGGTGAAGAGCAGCACGATGAAAGAAAAGAGTGGGGGATTATGCCGCGGAAACAATGTGGCCAACTACAAAAGGCGGGGGCTCTACCTCAACTTTTGGTGGGCCAGGGGTGTCAGAGTACTATGCGGCTCGTGTCTTGGCTCCCGCAAAGCCCCCACCCCTTGCCCAAGTTTGGTCCCGGTTTGCAGGAAAATTGTGGTCCAAACTGAGATGCAGACCGATAGGGCTCGACGTTGGATGGCTCGCGGGGTCCGGACAGCTGCGTTCGAATGGATATGGAAGGTTTGAGGGTCGGCGTTAAAGATGCCCTAAAAGAGTATGTTAGAAAACGAGTGAACACGGGCTTCATATAACGTAACTAGACAAAGCAAGATCTAGTAGGTTAGAATTAAGAATGAAATCCGATGGAAGAATCATTGCATAAACAGTGTATGATTGACGATGGGAAGGAGCATGCCATGAATTTGGAGTTAACAAGGTAACTGGACAGACATAAAACTAATTAAGAAACAATAGGATGAAAGAATTTGGAAAGAAAAACATAGACAACCTGAAAGGGAAGAGCACCGAAAGTTGACAATTGAACAGGGGCCACGAGGAAGAAGGACATGAACATTAAAAATGGATGAAACACTATTGAAAAGAAAAAACGATCGAAGACGGAAACAAACAAGACGGAACGTAGAGGGAAATGACGTACGAAAATGGTTGGACGTAGTATTTCAGTACATGATGAACATGTGTGTTGTTTCGTACTGACAAGTTCCTGAGTTTTCATCTCTTTTCAGGAAATTTCACGCTCGTATTGGCGTGTTTCTGAGTTTTCATCTCTTTTCAGGAAATTTCACGCGAAACAAATTTCCGGACCACAACGCAAATCAATGGCTTTAGGTGGCGCAGGTGCGTGCCTATGCACCTGCATGCCCTTGCGAATTTCCCCTAATGCAAGGGATATCAAGTTCCCAGCGAACCTTCCTAGGTTTTAGTACGGATGGATGCTGAATTCGACCCATCTCTGGAGATGATTTATTGCACCATTTTGGTTTGCTGTTTCTCCCCTTTGCAATTGTAATGTACTCATAGAGGAAGCTTCTTACAGGAATAGAAAACCAGTGGCTAGCCTTCATTGTGGCTCGAATTGAATTACTGAATCAAATCTCATGTATCATATTGTAACGAAATGCTTTTTCCTTATCACACCAACAGAATTTCCTTGACCAAGTAATAACACTGATGGTTCTAACGTCTATTGGCATTCTCACATAGAAGAAGAACCAAGGGCCTACTGAATGAACCCATATATCGCACACACGGCGCAAATAATCTCGGGGACTAAGATCTGGATATCAACAACAAAATATACGAAAGACGCGAAATAGAACAGACTGAGCAAACAGACTGAGCATATCATCAGCAACCTTGAGCTCTACACAAGTAGCCCACCAGTCAGCTCATCACCAGATCACAACCACCAGCCCAGCCAGCCTCGCATAATAAGATGGCATACATACGCTCCTGGAGATAAAGTGCAGAGCTTCACCAACCACCCTTCTGAACATCAAGCTACTCCCTGATTTTACTACAGAAATATCGATAATATACCGGTCGTTAGTAGTACTAACTATATTAGATGCGCCACCTAAGTTGGTCAAACAGCCTGGTTCTTGCTCCGCAGACTATGCTCTCTGCACGCTGTAGACCGCCGCCCAGAGGTTAATGACACAGGACGGCGCGATGGCGAACCAGCTCAAGAAAGCCATGGCGGTGGCGGCCATATAGGTCGGGCAGTGGTTCTCCGAGCACAGTAGCAGGTCGTTGTTGATGAGAGTGGTCATGGCTGCCGACCCACTCGCTGCAGCGAAGCTCAGTGCTCCAGTGACCTGCCGATGAGATGCCCGGGGAAGGGTCAGAACCGAATCTATGCATACTTCTTTAGGAGAAAGGAAAATACATGTGATGCTTAAATGATTCTGTGCTTGTTCATGACTATGAAACATTTTCAGCGCAGGAGTGAGTCCACAGGGAATGGCAGATGGGTGTTTGTTTTGAGGTGCCTGAGAAAAAAACGTGTGACTTACCCAGTCCCCGGTGGAATATATGGTGGTAGCACAGGCTGTCTGGAAGGAGCTTTTGACAAGAAGTGCGTAGATGTCCACGGCGGCCAGGGCGAGGCTCCACAGGCATTGCAAAGACTCTGCTGCTACGAGGAGGCTGCTCAAAAGAACAACAATGAGTGAGTTCATCTATAGAAGGAAATCGATCCCCTGTTCTGAGTTCTGAAAGCAACATCCTAATACAAAAGACTATCTAATCGCACCACAGAAATAAGATAAGATACACATGCATACTAGCATAAGACAACATGTAACGCATGTCAGGAATGTACGTTACAACAATCACACTGTTCTGAATTCCGACAACCAGAATGCTAACCAACCTAGCGCCGTATCCAAGAAAGACAGCTGAGATGATATCACAGAGAACATCAACATGTCACCATCTGATCTGCATTGCCTCTTTCAAGATGCCAGACTAATTGTAAAACACTGGATGCACTTGCTCAAATGTTTAACCTGACCGACAATATGTATGCACAGGACAGTACACGATTGTCCATTACAAATCACACGATTCCGAAATCCCATAACCATAATGGCAGAGTGCGGACCAAACTTATCGGCATACACAGTGAAATGCTCTGTGCCGAATGCCCAGGCAACTATGCATGAAAACATCAAACTGGGGAGACAAAGAAAAAAGGAAGGCTCAAGCTAAAACTTGCTGCATCCAAGGAGACAGCTGAGATGATACCACAGGGCCATGTCACCAATCTAATTGCATTGCCTCTTTCAGGATGCCAAACCCATTCAAAAGGAAAAGTATCAAAATGTGAACGAGTATGAGCATTTCTCTTTGGAGGATTATTAAGAAAGCACCCAATAACAATTTCTACTGGAAACTACTCCCTCCGTTCCTAAATATAAGTCTTTTTAGGCATTTCAAATGGACTACAACATACGGATGTATGTAGACATATTTTAGAGTGTAGATTCACTCATTTTGCTCCGTATGTAGCCACTTGTTGGAATCTCTAAAAAGACTTATATTTAGGAACGGAGGGAGTACGTGCTATTTTTCGCTAATACGCATACGCTGGTTGCGTATCATTCATTGGCAGCTGTGTACGTTGATCTGAAACTCTGTGCTATTTGCAAGTTGGAAAATGTGCTTGTATGATTGTATCCATTCCTTCAGCTTGGATGTGAAATACTCCTACTTAGTAGCAGAAATTAGCATTTTTTCAAAAAAAAAAACACTACTCTTGCTTATATTGTTACTGGGTGGCACAAAGATAAAAAATGCTAGAGTAATCTGCACTCAAGGCAACATAAAAATCATCTCAATTTCAACCATGTACAGAAATACTAACAGGTGAACAGACAGAATCTGGAAATGTGGCTAACTAATATGCAGTCATCCCTGAGGAAGATACATATGAGATCCCTGAAGACTTTAACTGAAAACGACGAAACCCCACCTCATACAGCATCATCTGTTCTGTTCCAAATTTCCTAAGGAGAAATCGATCTGCTTTCGGAGCAAAGGGGAAATGGATCGAGACCCTAGCGGGGGGAAGAAAATGTGGAGCGGGAGGGGGAGCACTCACCGGAAGGCGGTGAGCGTGCGGAAGTCGTCGGTGGAGGCCATGAAGGCGACGGCGGCCGCCGCGAGCAGCGCCTGCGCGAGGCGGGCCGCGAGCCCCCAGCGCGTCCCCGGCGCCCCCCGCGGGTCCACCATCTGCACCCCGGGCGGCGGCGCGTTCGCGTTCGGCCCCTGCGCTCCCGCGGCCGGAGCCGGGCCCTGTCCCTGCGCCTGCGCCGCCGCAGCTGCCGCCTGCCCCTGTCCCTGCGGCTGCGGCACCGCAGCCGGAGCGGGAGCCACCGGTCCCTGCGCCTGCGGCACCGCAGCCGGAGCGGGAGCCACCGGCCCCTGGCCCTGCGCAGCCGGAGCGGGAGCCGCCGGGTCCGGGTGCACGACGGGGTGGCTGTGCCGCAGGAACATGCCGCCGGTGAAGAGTCGGCCCAAAACTGCTCCCTCGCGCCGTACTTAGAGTTCAGAGCCAACGACGCGGCCGGCCGGGGTTTTGGGGGATTTATGGAGGAGGCGCGTCGTGGTCCAGTCTGGACACTCGGCGTGGGGCCTTGGCGCGCGCGGCCGAATTTCGTGTTTTGACCCTTTTTAAAAGTATTTCAGGATCTGACCCCTATTTAATTTTTTTTTCGAGATTTGACCCTTTTGGCGGTAGGAAACTTATCCACGTCAGCGCGTGGAGACGGCGCCGTCCCCCTCCGTCGCACCCTACCGCCAGGTGCCCTGGCGGTAGGC